AAAAAAAAAAAAAAAAAAGATATATGAGGTGTTGGATGTGTTAACAAACTAGATGAGGGGAAACCTTTCCCAGTGTATGTATATATTAGATCACCACAGTGTACCCTTTAAATAACTTATAATGTTACATGGCAATTGTACCTCAATAAAACTGAAAAAAATTAAGTTAAAAAATTTATTTGTTTATATTACTTTTATAGTCAGAAAATTATGTGAAGAGGGGTGCCTGGGTGGCTCAGTCAGTTGAGCCTCCGACTTCTGCTCAGGTCATGATCTCACGGTCTGTGAGTTTGAGCCCCACGTCGGGCTCTGTGCTGACAGCTCAGAACCTGGAGCCTGCTTCAGATTCTTTGTCTCCCTCTCTCTCTGACCCTCCCCTGCTCACGCTCTCTCTGTCTCTCAATAATAAATAAAGTTTAAAAAAAAATTTTTTTTTTTTTTAAAGAAAATTATGTGAAGAAAACTTTCAAAAAAATAATGTTCAAGTCTCTGACTACATGGGCAGCAATTTGCTTGAAAGGTAAAGCAGAGCTCTCTGGAAAGGTGACAAAAGTTTTGAACACCAGAAAAATGGACACTCATACATGTTTATAAAATTTTATATGATCTATCAAAGGCTGGATCTCTTGACACCATCTCTGGATCACAGGTTAAAAATTGTCTTATGAAGGGATCTTGGCTATTCTTACCTTCACAGCCAAGATTCTCCAGTTGGTCATTTCCCTATTCAGCTTCCCAACCAGTTACAATCTGGCTTATGTCCTTATGACATCACTGAAACTGTTCTTTCTAATTCACTAGCAACTTTTTAATGGTCATCGTTCCACCTTTGCTTTTCTTCTTTTGCCCTGGTTTTAATTTATCCTTCCGTGTCATAACCTATGTAATCATTGCAAACTGCCTGAAATCATTTCTGAAACAAGGTATCAATCAATAAATACTTTTACTTGTGTCACATTTCCCATATCATAGCTAATGCCAGCCTTTCTCCAGAGCTCTAAAGTAACATATCCTCTACTTAATTAATGCCATGGTAGATATCTTATATAAGTATCTTAAAATTAACACATCCGCTCCTGAGGTTACTGCTGACCGCCTCCAAGCCTGCCCTACATGTATTCTCTGTTTTAGTAAAAGAAATTGGTACTTTTTATTTTTTTAAGAATCAATACCTTTAAATCTTAAGGAGATCTTGTATTTCCTGTTTTAGTAAAAGTGGAGATCCCAGATCTCTGCCTTTTAGGTCTTGGTTCCTTAGCTTTTCATCTCTTCTCCTACTGCTACTACCCTAGCTTGTATTCTCAACTTCTTGTGCCTGAAGTGCTGCAGTAGGTTCCTAACTGATGTCTCTGCCTCCAGCCCCCACTGCTACAATTTGTATTATTTTAGCTGTCTAACTGCTCTTTATAAAGCAAAAGCCTGATATTTTTGCTCCTACAATAAAATTCTCATGGCTTCAGTTGTGCTCTTCAAATTGAGATACAGGTACCCCAGAAGAAAGTCATAATATGCCATGTGATACATGAAGCCACAGGATAAATCTATAGCATCTTCCTGGGGTGTCAGTTTCTCTTGAAGACTTTGAGGGAGGGCAAAGAAGGTATTAGGAATAATCTGTAAAAGACTTGGAGATACACTAGCTTCCAAAATAAAGTCTAACTTCTCTTAGCATAAAGTCTAACTTCCCTGCTTCCCATATGATCTGAGTAGATGGTACAATCTTTTTGATCTACCAGAGTGTATAGGTTCAAGTTCTTTAGAAGGGGACAGTAACTATGAATTATTAGAGTGAAGAAGCAGAGGGGAGGGAGGAGGTAGAGTACAACTGAGTACTGGTGGAGAGATGAATGCGAAACCTAGTCTAAGGAGTTGAGAGCTGACCAAGGCCAGATGACAGATCAGCTCTTAAGAAAAGAAAAAGATCAGAGCAAGGTGGAATTGAAAATCAAGATGTTATGGACTAAAAACACAAAAAGTCTATGGACAAATCTGCGATCAAAGCCCACACTTGTACTGTTCATTAAGGACCTTCGAACCCGTCATCTGACACAAGTAATATGGTTGTAAAACCACTTAAACAAATGGGGAAAAAACATTTATTGAGTACCTGCGGAAGGCCTTGTTTCTGTACTGGTTTCTTGTAACATAGAGAAAGTGTCTGTTGACTTTTATTGCCATTTTGAAGATAAACAAAAGACTCGGACAATAGGTCTTTAATTCTATTACATTGGACATGGTAAGCAGCATCCAGTAAATATTAATTGAATAGAGGTGAATAAAACTATGTATAAAAAACTTTAAACCCTACAAATAGTACACAAATTTTAGTACACAATTTTCCTATCATGCACAGATAGTATTCAAATTTATTGCATAGAAGATCTATACAAATTGATCTCAAAACTACTCCAAAAAATACAAAATTGTTACAACATGAAAGTTAGTGTACTAAATAACAAATGTGTTGGAAAAGATGTTGAAAAAACACTATTCGAAAAATAACAGGAATAGGGACACCTGGATAGCTCAGTCAGTTGAGCGCCTGACTTCAGCTCAGGTCATGATCTCATGGTTTGTGACTTTGAGCCCCACATCAGGCTATCTGCTGTCAGCACAGAGCCTGCTTCAGATCCTGTCCCCCTCTCTCTCTGCCCCTCCTCCACTCATTCTCTCTCTCTTTTCCTCTTTCTCAAAAATAAATAAAACTTATATATATATGTAAGTTTTATTTATATGTATATATGTATGTGTGTGCATATATATATATATATATATATATATATAAGAATGTGTGTGTATATATATATATGTGTGTGTAAGAAAAATACCAGGACTATATATCAGAATCTGAAGGATGTGATTAAAGCAGTAATCTAAGGAATTACAAGGCATTAACATCTTAATAATTTGGATATAATAACATACATGACAGTGAGAGAGGGATGAAAGTTTAAAAGAAATAGCAAAAACCAAAGCAGAAATAAATTAGCATAGAGTTGGTGGTGCTGATATTTACAAACTATGCCACAGAAAGATGTAAAACCTAACTCTACAAGTAGCTTCATAAAGCTACACGTAAAAATGCTGTAACATGTGATAACAATTGGAAAAACCAGGAATTGAGGGATCCACTTGTGAGTAATTCTTGCTTTTCTCTCTCTCTCTCTGTCTCTCTCTCTCTTTCTCCCTCTCTAGTTATTGTGATCAACTGAAAGTCTCGGAGAGTACCCACGTGCTTCAACCCTTCCTCCCCAGTATCCTGGATGGCTTAATTCACCTAGCAGCCCAGTTCAGCTCAGAGGTCCTCAACCTGGTGATGGAGACCCTATGCATCGTTTGTACAGTAGACCCAGAATTCACAGCAAGCATGGAAAGCAAAATCTGTCCGTTCACCATCGCCATTTTCCTAAAGTACAGTAACGGTATGCCACCAAGACCATGTGTTATAAGGGACACCAAGAAAAAGTGGTGGTGGCTGGTGAATTTAAGTGCAAATTTTCCCTGGGTCTGATGGTCTTAGGCATCTAAATAAAGACTGGCTTTCACTTAGCAAAGAGGAGAGCTGTGCTGTAGCTACAGGAGCACTAAAAAGTAGAATGCTGGGGTGCCTGGGTGGCTCAGTCGGTTAAGCATCCAACTCTCGATTTCGGCTACAGTCATAATCTCGTAGTTGGTGGGTTCAAGCCCCACATCAGGCTCTACGCTGACAACGTGGGGACTGCTTAGGATTTTCTCTCTTTCTCTCTGTCTCTCTCTCTCCCTCCTCTCTTCTTCCCACTCTCCCGCACTCCCTCTCTCCCTTCCTCTCTCCCTCCCTCCCTCACTTAGTCTGTCTCACAAAAATAAATAAACATGTTTTTAAAAGGTAGGATACCTATTCTTGTAACTCTTAACTGCAGTAAGAACTGGGGATAAAAGATGATGAGTAAAGGGTTAAATAGCAAGTTAAGCAAGTAGGAAGTTGAGCAACTAAATCAAAATCTTCCTAAGAGGTCTAGAACTATAGTGTACAAAGTGAGATACTGAAGAAGTAGATACACAGGTTTATGAACAGCAGTGTTCATCACAAGGCTTTTATAGTAGCAAAAATCTAGAAGTAATAAAAAAGATTAATTACCTTTATTATATCCATAAAGTAGAATACTGTACAGCCTCTAAAAATCATACTTCTCAGCCATGGGAAAGTGCTCACAGTATAATAAAAGAACAGATGGTTTTCCAAACTGCATAGACTATAATCCCAAGTTTGGGGTTTGTTTTAGACAAGGATTAATTTGTAGCTACGTATATAGAAAAAATACCAGAAAAAACTACATCAAAATGTTAACAGTAGTTCTCTCTAGGTGGGGGAAATTCCAAGTGTTTTCTTTCCTTGAATACTTTAGTGCATTTTAAGTTTTTCTGTAGTGAGTGTGTATTAACACACACTTTACCTGTATAATGTTTTATTGTCAAAAAAATATTGACTATATTTGTTTTTGTAGAAGTAGCACCAATAGTGAAACAGAGGATATAGGGATAGAGGTTATATAATATGATATTATACTAAATATTTTATTTGATTCTCTTTTTCGCCTAAAATGTGTCCTGGAGAGGTTTTCACATTGCACTCTTAGATATATCTCATTCTTTTCAACCATCACATAATATTCCATAAATGGCTGTATCGTATTTATGTGCCCATTCTGTTAATAGACATCTAAGTTGTTCCCAACTTTTTCCTAAAACAATGCTGCAGTGATCTTTTAACACATATCTTAGTGCACTGCACACTTTTCTATTTCTTCATGCTAGATACAGGAGATTTTTCTTACATAGGTGAAATAGATCACGCTAAAGTTTTGTTTCTTCACAAGGCTCTGCTTTCTGAGGGTTTTACCTTTGGCCTTGGAAATGCTTTGGGAGTTCTTTTTTCTATCATGACTACCCCCGTAAGAGATGCATATGGTTCCCCTTCAACATGTGAGAACCTGACAATCAGTGTTTTGGCAGTTTTTGAAACTTTCGTGTCTTCTTAACAAAGTAATCGGAGGGTTTCTCTTTTCCTTAAGCATTCGGTTTCATAATCAATCCAGGCAAGAATAAAGACATTAAAGATTTGCCCCAGAATTGGAATTTAGGAACCCAAACAGATGAACATATGGGAAGAGGAAAAAAAGAGAGACAGAGAGTGAGGGAAGCAAACCATAACAGACTGATAATGATAGAGAACAAACTGAGGGTTGATAGAGGGAGGTGGGTGGGGGATGGGCTAGATGGGTGATGGATATTAAAGAGGGCACTTGTTGTGATGAGCACTGGGTGCTGAATGGAAGTGATGAATCACTAAATTCTACTCCTGAAACCAATATCACACTACAGGTTAACTAACTAGAATTTAAATAAAAATTTGGAACTTAGAAAAAAAAAAAAGAATTGGCCCAGAAAAAAAGCCAAATTTTGTTTTAGGAGTAGCTGTTACTGACTAGTCCCTGACTTAATGAAATCATGCATATTCTAGCTCTTAGAGACTTAGCATCTCTCCTGTCCTTTCAGGTTATTCATATGGCCTCACTAGGTCCCGGATATGTAATATGTAAGCAAAGCAGAAGTTGTTAACTTAGGTTAGAGCCAAATAATAGGTATCATTAAGCCAGAAGCACATGCAGACCATTGGGTGGGGGGGATTCTGTGTTGCCTTATCCACTTCAGATCCTGTCGTCGCCTCGCTGGCTCAGGATATCTTCAAGGAGCTGTCTCAGATTGAAGCCTGTCAGGGCCCAATGCAGATGAGGCTGATTCCTACTCTAGTGAGCATAATGCAGGCCCCAGCAGACAAGATCCCTGCAGGGCTGTGTGCGGTAAGTGGTTCCAAGGCCAGTACCGGTGTGGGTGGAGGTAGAAGAAGAAGAATGTGCACATGCTGTACAAATACCACCTGTAGATCCCACCTCGCTGACGGGAAACCAATTGCATAAGAGATTCATAGGGTGATCTTCCTGGGCTACTTTGCCCACAGGGACAACGGGTGGTTCTTGAGGCTTTAAGAAAATGTCCCTTCTTGTTCTTTACTTGTCCTCGGTGAATTGAACGGAGTGCCATTATTACACAGCACCACTAAGTACGTCGCTGGGCTATCCATTCTGCTGCCGTATACTGCCCACCCCCATATCTAAGCAAGTTATGAGCTATCAGGAGGAAGCTGAGAGCACTATCTACTATCTAATTATTCCTTTCTTTCAGAAACTTTCATTAATGAAAATTAATGAGCTTTCTTTGGGTTGCTGTGTTGTATCCATGCAATAAAGATCTTAGTTGTAGGGCACTGCTGAGCCCCACCCTAGAGGCAGTTCTAATTCTTTTTTCTCTTCCATTCTTCAGACTGCCATTGATATCCTGACCACGGTAGTACGGAATACAAAGCCTCCCCTTTCCCAGCTACTCATCTGCCAAGCTTTCCCTGCTGTGGCACAGTGCACCCTTCACACAGATGACAACGCCACCATGCAGGTATCTGAGCCTTGGTGACTAGAAGAGGAAAGATAGCTCCCAGCCATGGGCTTATAGCAGGCTGAGAAAGCTGACACGGTCTCACGCTTTTGAGATCTAGGTCTCTTAAATCCATATTTAACAAGGGCACCCAGGAAGGGTCCAGACTGTGGAAGCCAAACATGCTCTGCTTTGGGATGTATTGTAATCTTAAAAGTATGGATGCCAGACATTCTACCCATCTATATCTGGGTATTGCTACGGTGGACAAGATTACAGACATATAGACCTGGAGCCATACAGAAGTCTTTTCAGAATTAAAGTGAGCAAAGTAATAGCCCTTTGAAAATATCTAGGTAAACAGTGGTTCATATAGGTCTGTCTTTATTCCCATAAATATCTGTAGTACCCCTAATCACTGCTGCATCTTAGACATGTTTTTCCAGTACCAGCGGTAGACCTTTGTGGTTAAAACTTGGTTTGTTTGGTCATTATCTCTTGTGATCAGAAGTGTGCTTTTTCGAGGGAGCTGATGAGGTGAAGCGAGGACCATATAGTGCATGGCTATGTCTGTAACAGTAAAGTCCCGACTCCAGTGGTATGTGCCTACCACAAACCCTGTGGGCTCATCACTCTTATGTGGCATAGGCCCCTAAGTAACATCTGCCCATGCAGACTGTGGGCCTCCTGGCATCTGTTCCCAGTTGCTAATGTTGTTTGCTGTCTTTGTCTCCCCAGAATGGTGGAGAGTGCTTGCGGGCTTATGTGTCAGTGACACTGGAGCAGGTGGCCCAGTGGCATGACGAGCAGGGCCACAACGGGCTGTGGTACGTGATGCAAGTGGTGAGCCAGCTCCTGGACCCCCGCACCTCAGAGTTCACTGCCGCCTTTGTGGGTCGCCTCGTCTCCACCCTCATCTCCAAGGCAGGGCGGGAGCTGGGGGAGAATCTGGATCAGATTCTTCGTGCCATCCTCAGTAAGATGCAGCAGGCAGAGACGCTCAGTGTCATGCAGGTAAGACGATATGGGGAGCTGGGCTTTCCCCAACCCCAGGCGGTCGAGGTGGAAATCAGTATACAGGTCCTGAGGTTTTGTTTGTTTGAGAGAGAGAGAGAGAGAAAGAGAGAGAGAGAAAGACAGGGCATGAGGCGGGGAGGGGCAGAGAGAGAGGTAGACACAGAAGCTGAGGCTGGCTCCAGGTCCCCAGCTGTCAGCACAGAGCCTGATGCGGGGCTCGAAGTCATGAACCAGAAGATCATGACCTGAGCCAAAGTCGGATGCTTAATGACTGAGCCACCCAGGTGCCCCGGTCCTGAGTTATTTTACTCTGTCTTACTGTCTTTGTAGAACAGTTAAGTAAAATCTATTCTGGCCCAAGAAATCCCGACAAGGAAATCTCCATGTTCTCTATTTCTCAACTGGCCGGCCCACTCCTTCTCATCTCCTAAATCTCTGAAATTGTTTTCCTTGAAGCAGATGTCCTTCTTGTTACTTCCTAGTCTCTGATCATGGTGTTCGCTCATCTGGTGCACACTCAGCTGGAACCCCTCTTGGAGTTCCTGTGCAGCCTCCCAGGACCTACTGGCAAACCTGCCCTGGAGTTTGTGATGGCTGAGTGGACGAGTCGACAGCATCTGTTCTATGGACAGTATGAGGGCAAAGTCAGGTAGGGCCCCTCTTTCTTCTCTGGGCATTCTGCCTCTCCTTGTATTTCTTCTTTCCCTGACTTGTTCCAATGGTTTTTGTTCAATAGAGCAAGCTGCCCCGTGTATTCCTTTTTTCCTCTATTTCTTTATTGCTAATCCAGGTCTTTGAATAGCTGCCATCTTGAAACTCCCAAAACACAGTCAACACACATAGCACGTTTTTTTTTTCCTCCTCATAGCCGGCCAGAGATCCTCCTCTGCCACAGACTTCACCCAGCCAAATACTGCTAGTGGCTTATTCTCCTTTATAAACCTAAGCCTTCTAATCTTGGCTTGCTAACTTCCTATCCTAGACTCACCTTCCAGTGGTTCTCATCACCCCATTGCACCTTTCAGTGTGGCCAGCCCTTGTGATCTGTGCCCGCCCCAGCTTTGTTCCAAGAAGTTCAGAAGCTCTCACGAGGCCATCCTCATGAGCACTAAATCCCCCTTTCAGCTGAGCTGTCTTATCTCTCCTGATTCGTCGTGAACAGAATGCTCACCATCAAAGAGAGAGTCTTACGGCATAATTGCTTATCTCCTTGGAGTAAACTCTAGATGGGTGGCTGATCGACCCTTTTTGGCTCTTCTTGCCAGCTCTGTGGCACTGTGTAAACTGCTCCAGCATGGCATCAATGCAGATGACAAGCGGCTACAGGATATCCGCGTGAAGGGAGAGGAGATCTACAGCATGGATGAGGGCATCCGCACCCGCTCTAAGTCAGCCAAAAGTGGGTGACGCTGCTGCCCTCCAGTACCCTCCCTGGGGGCTAAGGATGTGTGGGGTGGAAGGCATGGAGGTACTATCATCTAGATTTTTGAAACACAGTCGTTAGTGATGGGTTTGATAAAAAAGAAACAGAAAACTGCAGGTACACAAAGGATCGGAACATATGCTTCCTTCCTGTGGCTGAAAACTGCCAAAAGCCATCTCGGGTACCAAGGCTCCCCAGCTTCATTTGGGGGCTCTAATACCCATTTTCAGCATGTCTTTGTTATTGGGTTGCTTTCACTGATGTGTAGGCAGTGAATGCAAAGCTGCCCTCTTCAACTGTAGCTTTATAATCACCCGTGCTATTTCTCAAACTGCGAGTCATGGGGACTAGAGTACTGTGCTCTGTACAGTCACTTAGTGTCCAAGCTTTATCACCAGCAAAAACGTATCTCCTTTAATTCTTGAACTCTCTTAGCTGTCCTAACTTCTCAACTCTTATGACACCAAGCAGAATGAAGTTATTTAACTTTAAATCATTCTGTGGTGGCTGGATATAGTCTGGGATGGTGGAAAGGCTGAGGGATGGTGAACTGTGTCTGGTGAGGAGCACTGCAGGACAGGAGGCACTGCCAGAAGTGAGCCCACTGACAGCCTGCCTAGAAGCCTTCCCTTTCCTTTCCAGACCCTGAGCGCTGGACAAACATTCCTTTACTGGTCAAGATCTTGAAGCTGATCATCAATGAGCTTTCCAACGTCATGGAGGCCAACGCCGCACGCCAGGCCACCCCTGCAGAGTGGGGTCAAGGTGCACCAGGCCCTTATTCCAAGCAAACTTTTAAGCCTGCCAGATCAAGTCATGATATTCAGATTATCAGTTTGGCTTATTGAGGCACTGAGGGGTTTTTTAATGTTTATTTAAGCATGCCTGCCACGTGGCTAGCATTGCTGTGCACGTGAAGAGCTGCTCTTCGGGTCTACCTTGTGAAGTCTCTTCAGAGGCTGGGGTGGGAGGCAGCCAGGAGGCAAGCCGCGTAGCCCTTCCTGTTCGGTTTTTCTCAAGAGCTTTTCATCCTTTTATGTACCCACCAGAACACCCTCGTTTCTTCCACTCAAGCTCATTGGGAGGGCTTGGCCACAGGCCACGTTGCAGAAACCCTCGGGACCCTCCTATTCTGGCCTGTTTACATTTGGGAAGGGAAAATCTGTGAGTATATGCTCCAGCTGCTTTTCATCTCCAAGTAGATGACTCCAACGATATGTGGGAGGACCAGGAGGAGGATGAAGAGGAGGAAGAGGATGGTTTAGCTGGCCAACTCTTATCTGACATTCTCGCTACAAGTAAATATGGTAAGCAGTCTGAGGAGAGGACAGCCATGCTAAATACCTTTTCTGTGCACCGGGACCAAGAATGGGATACCAAAGAAAGGGGAGAGGTGGGCCCACAAGGGATGGTCCATGGGCTTTTTTAGCCCTTCTACCTCAGCCGTGTGGTGATGCCTCCCCGCTTGGGGCCCAGTCGGCCTCTACCCTGACCCCTCTCTGTGTTGGCTGTGTCTAACAGAGGAGGATTACTACGAGGATGATGAGGAAGATGACCCTGATGCCCTTAAGGATCCTCTCTATCAGATTGATCTGCAGGTGAGAATGTCCAGAGAAGATAGATGTCTTGCAAGTACACGGTCTCAAGCCAGAAACAGGAATATGGGCTCCACCCCATTCATAGTTCCCAGCCTCAGGGCAGAAAGTTCCTGCCTTGCCGAGTAGTCAGAGGCTCCGGGTGGTCTGGGACTTTGCACCTTAGTATTTTATACCTACCAGTGTTGCAGTCCAGCTTCTTAAAACCCAGCTATGTTGTGAAGGTCCTCGGGTGGAAATATGAGATCTATTGGGAAAATTTTGTTTCTCTATGGACTTTAGTCTCTGGGTTGAGCCTGAACTAGATCCAGGAATGTAGAAAGCCATCCCTCAGGGTGCTGGCAGTTGTCTGACAGCCAGTGCTTCCTATACCGCCGATAGTTCTCGCCCCTTACAGATGGTAAGCCTGAGAACCTGCAGTAAGGCCACTCTTTTTTCTTCTCTGCAGGCCTATCTCACGGACTTCCTCTGCCAGTTCGCTCAGCAGCCCTGCTACGTCATGTTCTCAGGCCACCTTAATGACAACGAGAGGCGGGTTCTGCAGACCATTGGCATCTAAGAAAGGGAGACTTTCCAACTCTGCTCCTCCTGGCCCAGCCACAAACCATTTTGCAGCCCTTAACTGGCCTTGAGATGTACTTTCTTTTCAACCTAGAGTGGCCTCCTGACTCTTGGCCCTTGGCCTTTGCAGAGTGACACTGACAATTCAGACCAAGGTCACCAGTGCTGTCACTTAGGAATACTGGAACAAAGGACATTTCTCAAAGTCCCCCTGAAGATACTCCATCTCTAGAACCTTTTTCTCCCCGACCGTGCCCCCACCTCTGTTCCTAGAGTCCTCTGCCGGCCACTCCAGAAACATAGTGCCCAGAAGGATTACGTGTTCATGGATTATTTTGCCCCACCTCAGGAGCACAGGGAGTCATGACCATGTACATTCTAAAACAGACCTGTTTACTTTCATAGGACATCTGCTATGTTCAGATAGGAATACCCTTGAGAGATGATAATGCTTTCTGCTCTCTACCACAGATGTTCTGGGTTTTCCATAGGAATGAGAGGCAGCAGCTACATTCTGACCCCTCTCCAGTGACCTCTCCTTGTCTCCCTCCTACAACACTAAGGCTCCCCTGTCACAGGAAGTCCTCTTGTTTTTGCCTCATTGCATGACACAGTCCCTCCCCCCGAGCTATTCCTATGTATACACGCACACACAACATCAGCCAGAGAGATGGCAATTTGTTTTTCCTTTTTTTAGAAAAAAAAAAAAAAATGGGAAAAACATTTTTTTTAAAGTCCACCTGACCCAACTGTATTTAATATTCCTCCCCAACACATCACCACACACTCTGATATTCAAAGGTTACCCCCTCTCCCTCAGGAATCCTCTAAAGTGGTTAAGTTGTAGCCCTCAAATTTGCAATGTGTATTTTTCTAGGAGAGTAAAGTAATCTTTACAAATGAATTCAGTCCACATGGTATAAGGTGTCCCGGCACCTCTGCCTTCTGTTCCTTTTAGAAGGAAAATAAAAATAAGGGGGAAAAGATTAGGCGGAGCCATGCAGACACCTGAGTGTGTTCTAGCTAACCTAGCCCAAGATGATTCTTAGAGAACTGGTATCATCCAGTCAAATATTTTTAAGGGAGGTCCCTTAATTGGGAAATGCAGTCATTGTGGGTTCAAAAAGTGAATGATAACCAGTGAAGGGGAGGAAGGTAAAGCCCAGCATTCCCTTTTTTTTATAATGCCGACACCTACTGCCCCAGTTTCAGCCACTACAGAAGGTTTCTTTAGACTGATGATCAAGTCTCTGTTCTCAAGGAAAGGTCCCCACTTGGGGCATTTACTGTACAGGACTGTAATTGGAAGCCTAAGGATTTTGTAGCCAATAGTGATTTCACACCACTAGGTGTCCCTGGTGTACAACTCCCACATCTGACTGAGTCGGGAAAAGTGTCTGTTAACGTCACTGTCTTTGAAAAGTCTGAGGGCCTGTGCACAGCCTGGTCTGCCAGCCAGGTTCTGAGACTAATAACTGCCCCTGTGATTTCTCTCCCTTGAGTTGGGGAAGTTGCTCATATTGGGGAAATGATGGAAGTCTGGCTAATTGGTGCTCAGGAAAACCATTCTGAGCCTTAGAAACTCACCCCGTGGTTATTGATCTCAAGGCAGTGCCAGTTAGTTTCAGTGCTGAAGGTTCCACAGGGCCAAATCAACCCCTGATTGTGGCACAAAAGAATGGTCTCATGCCAGTGGCATTGGACTGCTGAGTTTGGGAAGGCTTGGGGCTTTCACACATAGACTGAGAAAGATATAGACCCCTCCTGGGCCCACTAATGACAAAAAGAGCCTATCTCGTGCCAAAAATGGTCTCTTGACAAGGGTCCTCTCTTCCTGCTCTCTCGCTAGTTTTAGGGGAGGACTGGAAAACTTGAGTTCTGAAGGGAAAGGGTCGTAGGATCACCTGAGGGGCCACCCCCAACCAACAGACATACTGTTGTCAGTTAAGAGCAGAGGGTCTTGGACCCTTTGGTGTGCAGGCACTTCCTGCTCCCACAGCATTTCAACTATCCCATTTAACCTTTATAGCAGGTACACAGTAGATAATATTCCCATTCTGTCAGTGAGGAAAAGAGTTCAGAAACTACATCCAGGGTCTGCGAGAAGAAAAAATCTGCTTGAGTCCAGGAGTATTGACAAAAAGTTGAACTCTAGCTCCTTTTGGTCTCCTGTGTTTTTGGCCAAAGAACCGGCTTCAGTCTGAAAAGGTCAGGGCCAACTGGTTAGAAAGAATTGAAGTTCAAGATAAGATAAACAAGGGAATAATAAGAGTGCTGAGCTGCTCTCAAATTCTCCAGGTCTCCTGACCCTGGTGAGTAACCGCTAGGACACCAAGGGCTTTCCCAAGACTGTGTTGAGCTCTTAGTGGAAAGAACTGAAAGGAAAATGGAAGAAATACCAGAAGACAGAAGGTGAAAGTCCAAGAACTGAAGGAAACTGGTTTTCACAAGTGCCCATCGGAAGGGTGATATTGATCAGGGACTATTAGATGAGTCAAGCCAATAAATAGGAATGTTGTAATTAGTGCTTAATATAGGGCTTAATAGATATTAGTTGTGAATTCAGAACAAGTGATGCAAAACTAGCCCCATAGTCTGATTTTGTTAACAGATTAGATAAAATCTGGACATGGTAAAATCAAAGCATTAGGGAGATAGACCAGTTGGTAACTGGCCACCAACTCTCAGACTGCAAATTGGCGTGTTGTGGAATGGCTTGTGCTGTGCCCCAGGGCTCTGTCCTTGGCCCCTCCTTTGATATTAATGACAGATGAGGGAGTTTTTTTATGCCTTACCCATTCCAAAAGAGGATCTGAGGCCCAAAAGAAACCCTACTAGATAGGAGAGAGATGCTGATCAGATTTTTAGATAACAGGAAACCCCTGGGAAGGATGACAATTTAGGATTCAAACAAATATGTCCATAACCTGTAAAAAATGGGCAGAATTGAAAGGTAAGGTTGTTTCAAAACTCAGATTAATGAGTATGAAGAAAGTTGAGGATTACAGAGTACCGTACTCTTGTTAACAATTCTGCGTGCCAGTAACAAGTGTTTATTATGTTGAACTGTTGGCGTGTCTTCACTAAACTCTAGTGTAGTTCTGGCTGGGTTAGTAGACACACATTGTGTAAGATCATTTCAGTCTTCTGTGCCTGTCAGCAATCCTAGAGTGCTCTGTTCCATTATGGTGCTCCAGCAGGAGGCTCCCTGACAGAAGGCGAGCCCATCTGCAAGACAAAAACCAAGAACTGGGGGACCTAAGCTGTGTCAAGGGGGAAGAAACTTGAAGGAGCTGAGAAGACTCAGGGAAAACAGGACACTGCTTTGGAAAATGAAAGGGTTGTCCAGTGAAAGATCTACTTCTCACCCCAGCCTGGCAGACCTATGGCCAATGAGTAGATCATAAACTCAAAGCCAAATTCTGGCTACTATTATGTTTGTTCTGTTCAGTAAATATTAAATTTCTATTACATGCAAGGCCAATGGTAGATGCCGGAGAGGCTTGGCCCCTTCCCTCAAGAAGCTAGTCTAGTAGGGGGTCAGAAATAGCCCAACGAATGTGGGGAGTACCATGAGAGGAAGAAATACTGGGGTCAATCCCCAATACCCAAAAAAAGGGGATGGTTAATGGTAAGTGGGAGAAGTCAGAGTTGCATGGAGAGGTGACCCTTGACCTGCAAGGTGGCTAACAACTGCTGAGATTTCAGGACCACTCACTAAATGCCAGTGACTGTTCCAAAGTGTTGGATTATCTCGTGTAGACCATCTAATAACTTTACAAAGTGCATCATTTTGTTTATCCCATCTACAGACTGATGAAACCAAGGCACAGAGATATTAAATGCTACCTGCCGAAAGTCACATAGCAAAGTGTGTGATTCTGATCCAAGTGGATTGCACTTTTTGCCAGTACTCTGTCTTGCCTCCCCTATGCGTTTGCCAAGCAGACGAGGGTGGGGTAGGACACTCTAGAGAAAAGATCATTAAGAAGAGACCCATCATGGAATAGGATTGCATTTTCACAGTTTATATGCAGGTTAAAAGATTGGAATTTATAGTTCACAGGACTCTTGGCCAGAAATAAGCAGGAAGGAAAAGTGAGAGCCAGATGGTGGAGGATCCTATAGGCCTTCCTCCTCTTCAGGGAATGGGAGACCACTCAAGAATTTTAGGCAGAGAAGTTACACAATCAGGTTTGCATTTTGCTTATTTTTATTTCTATTTTTTATTTTTTTTATGTTTCTTTTTGAGAGAGCGCAAGTGAGCTGGGGAGGGGCAGAGAGAGAGGGAGACAGAATCTGAGGCAGGCTCCAGGCTCTGAGCTGTCAGCACAGAACTCAATGTGGGGCTTCAACTTGTGAACCTTGAGCTCATGACCTGAGCCTAAGTTGGACGCTCAACCTACTGAGCCACCCAGGTGCCTCCAGGTTTGCATTTTAGAAAGCATACTGATGTCTGTCCGGACAGAACTAAAAGGGGAGGCTGGAGGCAAAGTGCAGGTGAGAGAACCAAGAGCCTGGACTCGGCGGTAGCCAGAGAGGGGGTTGGAGTGGAAGAGGTCAGACTGAAAAGTTGACAAGGGTGGGTCTAGAGGGCCTGACGGTGGAGAGGGAAAGGTCTTCCCAAAAATGACAGCTGGCTGGGGCTTAGACTAGACCTTCACCACACTTTGTCAGGACTTGGGTAGCAAAGCAGCGAAAAGTAATTGCTAATAAAATTCCACCATTTGTAAATATTTACCTTTCTCTGATGGATTAGTACAAGTTCAACCTTAGCCTTCTAACAAGGACCCTCACATTGTTTGTTTTGTTTTGGGAGGGGCTTGTTTTGAATAGGTGAAAATAGGGTGGCATTAACCATTCTCCTAAAATTGCCAATTACACTGGGTCTGTTAGACTTATATGGTACACGTGATTTTGTAGCAGATGTGCTGGCCTGACCTGACTAGAAGGCCTAGGAAGTCCCTTCAAGTCTTGAGTTATTCTCATGTGGCATGA